TGTTTTTAAAAAACTATATTATTGCAGATTCGGTGATTTATATATAAACACTAGCCGTCCCGGCCAGGCCCTGCTCTGGCTTCTGTGAAAAACCTTTCTGTTAAAGATTATTACCTGTGTGTTTAGTAATCATCATAAACCCGGCATTGCCCACCCAAACCACAACCAACCAAAACCTAAACAACAAAACGCAAACATAACGCTAACACAATTACAAATACAAACGAAAACAAAAACCTAACAACAAACCCAACCACAATCACAAACACCAATACAAACACAAAGAAAAAACAAACAAAAAAGCAAACGAAAACAAAAACCTTACAACAAACCCAACCACAACCACAAACACCAATACGAACACAAAGAAAAAACAAACAAAAAAGCAAACGAAAACAAACCAAATCCAAACGCAAAACCAACCACAAACACAAATACAAACACAAAACCCAAAAGAAAAAAACACAAACGAAAACGAAAAAAGAAAGAACAAAAACGAACCAAATCAAAACGCAACCACTAACGCAAAACCAACCTAAACACAAAGAAAACACTAACGCGAACATAAACGCAAAGTGCTCACAGTCTAGCCCGGGGCAGAATCGCCTGTTTCAGCTTAATAATCGACTACAGTATTCCAACTTATTCATAGTCTTTTGCACTCACTTAAACGAACGTAGGTGCCAAACCAAACCAAATGAACAATTATAATACTCCAAGCGTATTCGTAAAATACCTACAACATTTGCACCTGATCAATCCCCGCTAATTATGTAAATATTTTTTTTCCCAACACCAAAACAAAGTAATAAAAAGTAAATTCTTTTCCACTAATGCAATGTTTAATAAAGGGAAGTAATTGTGTTTTCCTAATTTATCAAAGGGAAGTAAGTGCTAAAGGGACTAAATATAAATAATTTTCAGACATAATTAGAATTTTTGTTATTTTTTTTAAAATTGTGTTCAATGAACATGCCGACAATTATTACTATCAGTTTGAAAAATGAAAATTATTTCCCAACACTTTAAATAATAATTTTTTAACTCATAAATTTAGACTATGAGCAGGATAATAGTCTAACACTTAAATCCATCAAAGTATGTCAACGACAAACAAACTTATTTCTACATACAGAATTGAGCTTTATTTATTATATATATATATATATATATATATATATATATATATATATATATATATATATATATATATATATATATATATATACAGCTAACACCACGGTCACCAAAGCATCTCATCCCATACCACTCCACCTCTACACCATACCACTCCACCTCTACACCATACCACTCCCGTCCATCCGTTCGTCAATTTAAAAAATAAGTTAAAAAGAATTTGTCTATTTAAAAGAACGATTTAAATCAGTTATAAAGTTAATAAAATGTGAAAACATAATGAATTAATTCAGGCTATAATGACTATCTATTTCGTTACACTTTAGGGAATGAATAAATTTTAAAATTATAGTAAATGTCGCACACAAAAATATGGCGAAATTCCAAAGATAAATAACTTCCACAGAGCTAGTCAAAAGAGGGGTCAAAGTTCACATCCACGGGCGCAACTTTGTGGCGGGAAACTTTATCGCCTCCAACATCGTGAGCGCCGTCAGCATGTGCCGTAGGACCTTGGTCATCCTGACCGGGAACTTCTGCAAGAGTCACTGGTGTAAATACGAGGTCCAGGTAGGTGGAATTATTATTGTGCTTTCAAGTGCTTTTAAAAAATATCCTAACAGTAATTCCAGTTCTAATCTAGAACTAAACGATTAAAACCTTTTCTTTATAAGCAAAAAATAACGTTTAGTTTTGGTTTTGCCAGTAAAAAACAATCTATTCTTAACTAAATGCGATATTTTTAAAAATAAAATGAACTGTTGGATTTAATTTAGGCGTTAATTTAAAAACAACTGAAATCTGTGTCTGATTTAAGGACAAGCCTGGCACATTGTCTAGCTCTAAGGGGTGACACCACACGAAAAATGTTTTTCTTTATTATGCGAGATAATGATAATGTAACAGATTTATTTGTTAACAGTATTTATACTCAGATAAAATATAGGCCGTAGTACCTTGTCCACTTCTTGCATTAAACATGCACCCAATCCATAATTTGAAGCATCCGTTACCAGTGTTAGTGTCTTCTCAAAGTTAGGGGCAGTAAGCGTTACTTCATGTTCAAAGTACTGCTTTATTAGCTGTAAAGCATCCTGACATTCTTTAGACCAATTTATTGTTCTACTGCTGTCCTTGGTAATTAGCTGTCTTAGAGGTAGAGTTATATCTGAGTACTTGGGTATGAATTTGCTGTAGAAATTAAATAGACCCAATACACCTTTGACTTCTTTCTTGGTTTTAGGTATTTCTAAGTTGAGAATTTTATTTTTATTTCCGTCAGTAGGTCTAATTTGATTTTTGCCTACTTTGAATCCCAAAAAATCCATTTCTTCATTTGCAAATTTTAACTTTTCAGGTGCAATAGTCGCGCCATGCTCCCTTAATTTTGTTAGTACCTCTCTAACTGACTGCATATGTGTCTTGATATCCTTAGAATGAATACATATGTCATCAACAAAATGTACTACATTCTTTATATCTGCCAGCATTATTCTCATAAATCTGGAGAATGTTGCTGTTGAATTTACTAGGCCAAAAGGCATAACATTCCACTCAAATAATCCTTCATCAGTTGTAAACGCTGTGTAGTGTTTGGATTCCTCATCCATACCTATTTGCCAAAAACCTCGGTTTAAGTCCAGATGAGTGAAAATTGTTGAGTTCCCTATCTCTTCCAATAGTTCATTAGTATCTCTCAGTGGTTCTGCGTCTATTTTCGTGATTTTATTCAAATCTCTATAGTCACAGCAAATTCTTACTTTTCCATTCTTCTTTTTTACTATCACCATTGGTGAAGCTACAGATGAATTTGAGCGTTGTATTTTGTTAGTTTCGATCAAATGATTTAATTCTTTCTTCACTGCTTCTCTGTATGCATAAGGTACTGCATATTGTTTCTTTTTTAAATTAGCATCCTTGTTTAATTCTATGACATGAGTAATCGTTCTTGTGTAGCCAGTATCTTCAGTAATGACATCTTTGAATTCGTTCAATAACTGCTGTAGTTCTTTTCTGTACTTCAGCGGAGTAATTTGCTGGATTTCTTCTTCTGTTTGAATTATGTTCGCTAAGGTAGGTTGTTCCTCTATAATTACTACGCTAGATTGTTCTTCTATTTGACGTTTTGGCAGTTCTTCATCACGACCAACTTCCTCATTTATGTCAGTGTCATGTGTATTAATGTCCTCCATCACCTGAGTTATCTGCTCAGGCATGTTATCGTATTTCCTCAGTAGATCAACATGTACTATCTTTATTGTGCCTTTGATGTCCACAGCATAATCTACTTCGTTCACTTTCTTTTTAATCACAAATGGTCCCTGCCATAATTTGACCCCTTTCCAGGTAGGTAGCCAAACATAGACATTGTCTGTCTCCTTCAATTGCCTGAGGTATCTATTTTTGTTTTTCAATTTTCTCTGTCTACTTGCCTCTCCCTCCGCATTTTGTTGAGCAGATTGTAATCCATATACCATTTTGCTTTTCTTTTCAGTAATGAACTCAAAAGCATCTTGTTCAGTGATTTGAGTGCCAAGTAATCTATCATTTAGCAACGAAAGCGGCCCCTCTTGGATTTGATCCAAACATTAATTCAAATGGCGAGTACCCCGTCGCGTCATGCACTGTTCCTCTATAGGCGAACAGTATCGCCGGAATATACTCATTCCACTCCTTAGGATGATCTTCTGTAGCTTTTGCTAGCATTACCTTGAGTGTTTTATTCCACCGTTCACACATACCGTTTGCTTGCGGTCTGTAGATGGTCGAGTGTACCTGAGTGATCTTCAGCAGCTTTGTTAATGCATTAGTCACATTAGAGGTAAATTGTTTGCCGTTGTCTGACAGCAGAGTTTCAGGAAAACCATATCTTGAAAAAATGTCTAATAATGCAGAACATATAGTTTCGGATTTTATATCCCTTAGGGGTATAGCTTCTGGCCATCTGGACGCCATGTCTATTAAAGTTAGAATAAATCTGTGACCTTTTTTTGATGCAATTGGTAGAGGTCCTACTATGTCTATAGCCACTTTCTCAAACACCCTTCCTATTTTATCAGTTGGCTGTATAGGAGCAATATGTTTGCTGTGTAGATGATTTTTAGTTATACATTGCTTGCATTTACCAATGTATCTTTTCACATCCTGATGGATTCCCGGCCAGAACGAGTTGTCAAGGATTCTATTTATAGTTTTCCTGACTCCCATGTGCCCAGCCAAAGGACTATCATGTGCTGTCTCCAAGACTAGACCTTTCAGTGTCTCTGGAATGACTATTTGTGTCCTTTTAATGCTGTTATTCTGAAATATTCTAACCAGTATATCATTTTTTATTTCATAGCAGTGGCCTCTGTACTTTCCTTGTCGTTTATTGATGTTATTCATCAGTTTTTTTGTGACTTCATCCTCTTTTTGTAGCCTTGCCATGTGAATGTAGGATGTTACTACGACACTTTGTTTCTTGACTGTGATTGTACTTATACCACTTGTGACATCATAAGTAACAGTAATACAATGTAGCAACATCACTTTATTGCCTCCACTTCTGACACCATATGTAACAACATGAATTCTTTGTTGTTATTGTGGGTTCTTCAATATACTCACACGAGCAACAGTAGTTGTGAAACAATAACTTTATTTACACTTTGTACAGAGAATTAATAGATCCATAGTAAATCCATGGTCACAAGTGGTATAAGTACAATCACAGTCAAGAAACAAAGTGTCGTAGTAACATCCTACATTCACAGCCACAGTCCTCAGGTTCAAGTTCTAGCACACAACACCCGTTCACCTTTTTGCTCTCCCTTTTATTCACTACTTTCTCTCCCCTTACGTACATGAGCGATCTCACCCAAAAACATGGAAAAACACATGACGATCGCTCAAACAGTCCTTCCGCTAGCCAGGTACTCTTCATTCATGCAACTTCATGTAAAACACAATAATATAAACATATCTAATTATACAGTCTGTGACAGTATACAATCACATTTTGTAGCTCTAGCTGCCACGAAAGCCATGAAATGTTTAAATTGAAAACATTTTTTTAAAACTATGTATCTTTGTTCGCTCAATATTCAAAACAAAATCGCATTTACGATATTCACTTTGATATTTATTTTTTAACTTTTTTATGTATTTTTATATAAGAAAATATACCTAAAAAATAAGTAGACGGTTTTACATAAACTTTAATATTTTCTAAGTATTGCAGTAAAATGAAAACACAAAACTTGAAAAGTAGTGTAATGCTTAAAACTTGTGCAAAGTTTCACTTTTGTGTGACACTAGGTTAATGGGACGGCGTAGTCACATAGTCAAACTTACTAAAGGTTTTTTTTTTCCTTCAAAAAGACAGAAGTGTTAATTACGTGTAAATTGGTTTATTCTTTTATCTTAGTTTAAGGCGTACTAACCCAGTTTTTTATTAGTATTGCAATCACAATAAACAGTGTATTTCTCACTAAAAATGTATAATTTTGAAATTATAAATGAAAGCGAAATAAAAGTAAAAAAAAAAGGTGTAACCGCGTGTTTTGTTTGATCTTTTAACAATTTAACCACCAAGCCCACATCATTAGTCGATAACAGGTCGGGAAAAGTTTTAGTTTTCTAGACCTTAGTACGATAGGTCAATAGTATTAATGAATCCTTTTACTTGTTGTCATTTAAACATTGAAGTAAGCCTTTATATGGCGGCATTGCCTTGACCGTGACGGTTGCGTTGACCGTAGTATGACCTTGACCTTTCTATTTCAGATGGCTAACATGGAGTCGGTCCACGACGGACGTCCGGTGCTGATTTTCCTGGTCAAAGAGAACATGGCGGCCAAGAACCTGGGCGAGCTCATGTCCTTCCTCCGCTGCAACACTTACATCCCCTACCCGCAGGGGGAGCAACTCTCGGAGCGGGAGATGAAGGCCATGTGGGACAAACTGGCACAGGACCTGCGCTAGCTGTAGGACCTCAGCGAGGACATTCAGGTCTAGATCGTCTCATGGAGGACATTCAGGTCTAGATCGTCTCATAAAGGACATTCAGGTCTAGATCGTCTCATGGAACTAATACGCTGGCTGATAGTTTGGAGGACATTCATGATGTCCTATTGCTGGCCTTCCAGGATCCGCTACACCACAGTACTTGAATGGCAAATACCCTTGACCTCTAGCAGTCATTATTTTCGTGTGCCGACAGCCATCCTTGCAAGGTTCACACAACAATGTAACTGGATATCATTTATAGCCTTGGGCATATTGCTTCATCAACCGTATAAACGGGTCCTTCAAAGAAAAATATTGGATTACTAATCAGGCGTATCGTTTTACCACATGCGATGCCCATTAAACCAGTGATAACAAAAACAATTAAACTGTTTGGAGTTTAAATCAAAATCGATGTTATAAAGGAAAACAAAGTGTTTTTTTTAAGCTTTGACAACTTTTTGACAGCCGCTTGACCGTTGTGTGATTTCTTATTACGGCATGGTGTCTTGTATTAATCAGGAAAAGAATTTTTCACTATAGAAAATTCTTTTTCCCCCTTAAGAAAACAAATTGTAATAAATGCTGTAACTGTATAAGGTGTATTTTTTTCTTACAAATTGGTTGCAAATTATTATTTTTATTATTGTTGGCTATAAATTATTTTATTTTTTAATTTAAAAAAGAACGAGAGCCCATTAGTTTTATTGCTTCTTAAAAACATTTCTATATATCTTCCATCGATGAGAGATATGATTTTTAAAATATATATTTAGAATCAGTCGGTACAAATCTTCATAAGATCTACTCTTTGATGCTTTTCTATAAAAGTGCAGTTTTTCCGTGTGAGTCAAGCGATATGCTTTCTACAAATCTTTTTCATAAACATAAACAAAAAAACGTTATATCGGAAAAAAATGGTAATCGTAACTTGTTCCTGGAGCTATCCCATTTGTTGCAACATCAATTTTCGTTATATTATTGGATACATGTTTTATTTTTGTATTGTGGTAGGAGATTGACAAATGATTCACAAAATGGCTTCCTGTGTTATTTAACCCATGCTACTTAGATCGGCCACAGGAAGTAGACATATTAGAATTGTAAGATACAACATTAAAAATAATTTCACCGCATCATCACTATTATAGTTTAACTTATCAACCTTAGTGGTTTTTAAACTACTTAATAACTAGTTGTTTCCGCCCGTTGAGGAAAAGCTGCAACGGGGCATAATCTGCTAATTTTCTTTTATAACATTTTGACCCTTCTACTTTGAAATATGACCTGCAGATATGTAAACTATAGCTCTTTTCGGATCTTTATCTGAATCTTAAATTCCAAACTAACTCCGTCTTTGAAGAAATGACAAATTTCGACAAAGCTGAAGGTCAAGAACGTGTACACTAACTTCGGTGAGTATGTAAATCTGAAGACAAAATCGTACAGAATATGAGAATTTGTTAAACTGGAGACACTATCCTCCAAAATATGAGAGTTAGGCGACACCATCTGCCAGAACTAAAGAATCTCATCATTATTCAGGTAAATTAAAAAAAAAAACAGCACCTTTATGGTGCGGAAGGATGCTTTTTGTTACACGGTGTAGTATATCGCACTGGCATATTTATATCAAAGATTATAATAATAAAAGGAATTTGTAGAAAATAATAAATATGTATTCAGTTCATAAGAAACAACGAAGCCTCGCTTCGAAAATTAAAAAAAAAAACAAGAATACCCAAAATTATAAAAAAAATGTTACTAATAATATAATCAAATGAAGTCTATCATTACCAAGTAATCTTTTTTTTTTTTTTTTTTTTTTTTTTTTTGCCGTTTAATAAAAATATTCACATTTGGTTTGGAAAATACTAGCTGGCAAGTACAAACACGAGAAGATGGTGACATACATACTAGCCCTATTGGAAACGTCATATCATTGTTTCATAGTGGGCTTTATCTGTAGGTCATTGGCGTGACAATGCCTCTGTGTGTGGTTGAGGGTGTGAGGTGTGTAGGGGATCTGCTAGGTATACAGTTAGTAACATATTGTATTGTTAAGGGCATGGAATTACACCCCTCCCTATGCACTAGTCTCTATGCTGTCGCTATTCTAGAAGGTTTAACATTATTTTTATCAAGGCGGAAGTGTGTCGTGCTTGCGGATTAGCAACAAGCCAAATCATAGATTTCAATGACGATACTTTAACCCCAGGCCTTTCCTTATCTTCAACTTGGCTCTTAAACAAAAATACCAGAGGCTCTTATATAAGAAAATCCGTGTATGGCTAATAGACACAAGCGTACCATGTCAAAAGTTTTTAAAATTTTGTTTGTGTGGTCTGCGTGCGGGTTCCCTAGGCTTGTAAACTTATGCTGAACTGGATTAGGTAGCACGTACTTCAACGTAGTTTTACATCAACGCAAGATGGAGGTTATTTCATTACTTGAAAGCAAATGTAGTAAATGGAGCATCATTTTTTCAACCAACGTTTGAATAACAATAACAGCAATGGTATTGTGTTTCATGAATGCCTAAAAAGTGTGATACTTTCTGACCTAAGTATAAAAAGTCGCTTTGTCCGAGCTAGGTAAATAAAGACTGACTCTGTACAAGACCATATATGTCAGACGCTCATTCTAACATCAGCTAATAATTAAAGTGCTGTCTAAAATTTGTCTCACTCTCTCCATATTTTTACACATAATTTAAACAAAACCGTACAATTGTTTTCACTAAAACTTCTAGCTCACAGTTATTAGACCAATCGCAGTCATGATAACAAAATTCACTATCTCGTGTTTGCTCTTGGTTTTTTTGACCAATGAAGCGGGAGCATACACTTCACGTCCACCGGACATGACGTCTTCAGTTAGTGTTAACGGAAAGTCAGATTCTAAAAATTCCTGGTTGAATGACAAGTCAACCAATACAAAAAATAGCAATATACATCGTATGGCAATCCCATCTAATAACGTTGTATCGGTTAACGATGTCATGAAAAAAGACGCCGTCCTGACAAAAATGAAAAGTAATTCCTCACCAAGTCACAAACTAACAATGGACTTAGGTGTCAATAACCAAGTGACCTCTGACCTCAATAACAACAACAAAAGAGAATCTCTTCTCGAGTTGTCAAAAACACAATCATGCAATCCCAGAAGGAATTCAACTTACAGCATATATTCGGGATGTAGGTGCTACAACGAAACAAATTGCTGTGATTGCAGCGGCCTTCGACTAACATCCGTCCCTCAAAACCTACCGCCTAACATAACAAAACTTGACCTGTACAACAACGCTTTAACTGAAATACCTCCTCATTCGTTAAAAAATTACTCACGACTTAGAATATTGCATTTGAATTCAAACAACATTTCAAAGCTGAATGAAAGCTCGTTTTCGGGTCTGGAAAACTTGACGTTTCTCCGACTGGACGATAATTCCCTAGCGATGACCCCTGACACGTTTCCCGTGGGTGTCTTCAAGCCTTTGGTGTCCCTCACGGCCTTGAGGTTGAATAAAAACTTTAACTCGGCGGTAGGAGGGAACAATTTTAGTTACCCAGATTTAGCGCTATCTGACTTGAAAAACTTGAAAGCGCTTTATATAGATGGGCTGACGAATGCGTCGTTTGGAGTGGGATTCAGTAGGATGACGTCACTGGTCAACTTTACCGTAACTGGCTATCTGGATGGATACTGTAATATAATTTGTTTAAGCAACACGACATTTCAGTACCTGGGACACATCAAGGTCCTCAACCTCAGCAACTGCCACCTACGTGGGGGGCACATTGACAAGGATGCCTTCACGCCTTTGGTGAGCCTGGAGATGCTGGACATCCACTACAACGAGGACATTGGAATCAAACACCTGCAGCATATCATGCACGGGCTGAGGAACAACACGAACCTGTGGTGGCTGGACGTTAGCACCATCGAGTGGCGCTACTCCACCGGAACTCAAGTCAATGCCAGTCACGTGACCAACCTCCCCAAGTCCTTGACCACTCTCAAGGTCGCGGGGAACAGCATTGAGAAGATAGACAACGACACGTTCGACCATCTTCCCCCAAACTTAACTCTTCTGGACATCGGAAAAAACCGAATCGTGTTCGGGGTTTTCCTTGAATTTCTCCCAAAACTGACCAAACTCCAGACTTTACTGATCAACGGCGAAGACTACCTCTACGATATTCCAACATCCTACAATAAAGAATCCATCAAACATTTTCATTCCCTCCTCAAGAGGAGAAGCGTTGGAGATGACAACACGTTGGTATTCCACCTCCCACCACAACTGTCCCGGATAGAAATGGTTAACGCGGAGTTGCAGTACCGTCTGTCACGGTTGACGATAGACAGCAACAACTCCCTGACAGACCTTGTGTTGGACAGAAACTTTTTGCCTGAGCTGCAGGGTCCGTTCATCGGCTTCAATCATTTGACCACCCTCAGTATCCACTCGAGCTATGTTAGTTCCCTGGAGTGGACGTTTTTCTCTCATTTGCCGTATTTGGAGCATCTTAACCTCGGCGCAAACATTCTTGGGGATTTTTTTGACACACACCATGATGAGCTAATTTTTTCCAACTCTACACATCTGAAAACTTTAGATCTTTCCTTTAACAACATATACAATTTAAGTCTAGATGCGTTTGTCGGTCTCGAAAATCTTCAAGTTTTAGATTTGTCAAACAATCGTCTCTCTAGCTTTAATGTAAACATCACGTTTATGAATAATTTGAGAGTATTGAACCTTAGCCACACATCAGTGTCTACACTCCCTGCTCTAGTCACCAACCATATTGACTCTCTCATTAAAAAGCACGTGCCGATACAAGTGGAAATGTCCAACTGCCCTATTCTTTGCACGTGTATACAACTGCATTTCCTAACCTGGATGATTAATTCCCCTGCTTTTAAGTCGTTTGATAACTACTACTGCGCACGTAACAACATCTACACAAACTTGACCAACGGCTACAACAAAACCGTGGAGCTGCTGAACAAAGAGTGCGCATCCAACGAGAAGCTCTTCCTGTTTGTTGTTGCCGCCACGCTGCTCGTGCTGTTTGCTCTCGTCGGTCTCATGATCTTCCGCTTCAGGTGGAGCCTGCGGTACCTGTACCACGCGGCGATGCTGAACTTCCATAGACGACACGAGACAAAAGGCAACACATTTTACTATGACGTTTTTATCTCCTACGCCAACCAAGATGAACGTTTCGTCCTGGAGGTTGTCGAGCCTGGTAAGTCTTTAAGAGAAAATAATGATGAAACTTTTGGGGCAATGCCTAGCGCTTTTCTCACAGAACTAGTATTAAATAATTTTAAATTTCATTATGGAATAAGTCAGCGATTGTTTTAAGTAAGTATTACATTTGGTGACTGTTCAGGTTGTTTATATTATCTTTGGTTGGGGTTCTTTTTAAGGAAAAACAAAAGTTAGAATAAGACCGGTGCAACGCCTGGTCGGATCAGCTAATCGTTAAATAAATAAAAGATGTGATGAAGCAGCGCTCGTTATTATATCAATGTCAAACTATTGCCTACTAACAAACAGACAAATACATACACATATATGTGAATATATATATATATATATATATATATATATATATATATATATATATATATATATATATATATATATATATATACATACATATATACGTCACGGCCCATTACATATTAATTTATATCAAATGCCAGTGAAGGACCTAGCCGGTACGGCTTGTATATATATATACATATATATATATATATATATATATATATATATATATATATATATATATATGTATATTTGTATACATCTGTATATATATGTATATATACACACACACACACACACATATATATATATATATATATATATATATATATATATATATATATATATATATATATATATATATATATATATATATATATATATGTGTGTGTGTGTGTGTGTATATATACATATATATACAGATGTATACAAATATACATATATATATATATATATATATATATATATATATATATATATATATATGTATATATATATATACAAGCCGTACCGGCTAGGTCCTTCACTGGCATTTGATATAAATTAATATGTAATGGGCCGTGACGTATATATGTATGTATATATATATATATATATATATATATATATATATATATATATATATATATATATATATATATATATATATATATTCACATATATGTGTATGTATTTGTCTGTTTGTTAGTAGGCAATAGTTTGACATTGATATAATAACGAGCGCTGCTTCATCACATCTTTTATTTATTTAACGATTAGCTGATCCGACCAGGCGTTGCACCGGTCTTATTCTAACTTTTGTTTTTCCTTAAAAAGAACCCCAACCAAAGATAATATAAACAACCTGAACAGTCACCAAATGTAATACTTACTTAAAACAATCGCTGACTTATTCCATAATGAAATTTAAAATTATTTAATACTAGTTCTGTGAGAAAAGCGCTAGGCATTGCCCCAAAAGTTTCATCATTATTTTCTCTTAAAGACTTACCAGGCTCGACAACCTCCAGGACGAAACGTTCATCTTGGTTGGCGTAGGAGATAAAAACGTCATAGTAAAATGTGTTGCCTTTTGTCTCGTGTCGTCTATGGAAGTTCAGCATCGCCGCGTGGTACAGGTACCGCAGGCTCCACCTGAAGCGGAAGATCATGAGACCGACGAGAGCAAACAGCACGAGCAGCGTGGCGGCAACAACAAACAGGAAGAGCTTCTCGTTGGATGCGCACTCTTTGTTCAGCAGCTCCACGGTTTTGTTGTAGCCGTTGGTCAAGTTTGTGTAGATGTTGTTACGTGCGCAGTAGTAGTTATCAAACGACTTAAAAGCAGGGGAATTAATCATCCAGGTTAGGAAATGCAGTTGTATACACGTGCAAAGAATAGGGCAGTTGGACATTTCCACTTGTATCGGCACGTGCTTTTTAATGAGAGAGTCAATATGGTTGGTGACTAGAGCAGGGAGTGTAGACACTGATGTGTGGCTAAGGTTCAATACTCTCAAATTATTCATAAACGTGATGTTTACATTAAAGCTAGAGAGACGATTGTTTGACAAATCTAAAACTTGAAGATTTTCGAGACCGACAAACGCATCTAGACTTAAATTGTATATGTTGTTAAAGGAAAGATCTAAAGTTTTCAGATGTGTAGAGTTGGAAAAAATTAGCTCATCATGGTGTGTGTCAAAAAAATCCCCAAGAATGTTTGCGCCGAGGTTAAGATGCTCCAAATACGGCAAATGAGAGAAAAACGTCCACTCCAGGGAACTAACATAGCTCGAGTGGATACTGAGGGTGGTCAAATGATTGAAGCCGATGAACGGACCCTGCAGCTCAGGCAAAAAGTTTCTGTCCAACACAAGGTCTGTCAGGGAGTTGTTGCTGTCTATCGTCAACCGTGACAGACGGTACTGCAACTCCGCGTTAACCATTTCTATCCGGGACAGTTGTGGTGGGAGGTGGAATACCAACGTGTTGTCATCTCCAACGCTTCTCCTCTTGAGGAGGGAATGAAAATGTTTGATGGATTCTTTATTGTAGGATGTTGGAATATCGTAGAGGTAGTCTTCGCCGTTGATCAGTAAAGTCTGGAGTTTGGTCAGTTTTGGGAGAAATTCAAGGAAAACCCCGAACACGATTCGGTTTTTTCCGATGTCCAGAAGAGTTAAGTTTGGGGGAAGATGGTCGAACGTGTCGTTGTCTATCTTCTCAATGCTGTTCCCCGCGACCTTGAGAGTGGTCAAGGACTTGGGGAGGTTGGTCACGTGACTGGCATTGACTTGAGTTCCGGTGGAGTAGCGCCACTCGATGGTGCTAACGTCCAGCCACCACAGGTTCGTGTTGTTCCTCAGCCCGTGCATGATATGCTGCAGGTGTTTGATTCCAATGTCCTCGTTGTAGTGGATGTCCAGCATCTCCAGGCTCACCAAAGGCGTGAAGGCATCCTTGTCAATGTGCCCCCCACGTAGGTGGCAGTTGCTGAGGTTGAGGACCTTGATGTGTCCCAGGTACTGAAATGTCGTGTTGCTTAAACAAATTATATTACAGTATCCATCCAGATAGCCAGTTACGGTAAAGTTGACCAGTGACGTCATCCTACTGAATCCCACTCCAAACGACGCATTCGTCAGCCCATCTATATAAAGCGCTTTCAAGTTTTTCAAGTCAGATAGCGCTAAATCTGGGTAACTAAAATTGTTCCCTCCTACCGCCGAGTTAAAGTTTTTATTCAACCTCAAGGCCGTGAGGGACACCAAAGGCTTGAAGACACCCACGGGAAACGTGTCAGGGGTCATCGCTAGGGAATTATCGTCCAGTCGGAGAAACGTCAAGTTTTCCAGACCCGAAAACGAGCTTTCATTCAGCTTTGAAATGTTGTTTGAATTCAAATGCAATATTCTAAGTCGTGAGTAATTTTTTAACGAATGAGGAGGTATTTCAGTTAAAGCGTTGTTGTACAGGTCAAGTTTTGTTATGTTAGGCGGTAGGTTTTGAGGGACGGATGTTAGTCGAAGGCCGCTGCAATCACAGCAATTTGTTTCGTTGTAGCACCTACATCCCGAATATATGCTGTAAGTTGAATTCCTTCTGGGATTGCATGATTGTGTTTTTGACAACTCGAGAAGAGATTCTCTTTTGTTGTTGTTATTGAGGTCAGAGGTCACTTGGTTATTGACACCTAAGTCCATTGTTAGTTTGTGACTTGGTGAGGAATTACTTTTCATTTTTGTCAGGACGGCGTCTTTTTTCATGACATCGTTAACCGATACAACGTTATTAGATGGGATTGCCATACGATGTATATTGCTATTTTTTGTATTGGTTGACTTGTCATTCAACCAGGAATTTTTAGAATCTGACTTTCCGTTAACACTAACTGAAGACGTCATGTCCGGTGGACGTGAAGTGTATGCTCCCGCTTCATTGGTCAAAAAAACCAAGAGCAAACACGAGATAGTGAATTTTGTTATCATGACTGCGATTGGTCTAATAACTGTGAGCTAGAAGTTTTAGTGAAAACAATTGTACGGTTTTGTTTAAATTATGTGTAAAAATATGGAGAGAGTGAGACAAATTTTAGACAGCACTTTAATTATTAGCTGATGTTAGAATGAGCGTCTGACATATATGGTCTTGTACAGAGTCAGTCTTTATTTACCTAGCTCGGACAAAGCGACTTTTTATACTTAGGTCAGAAAGTATCACACTTTTTAGGCATTCATGAAACACAATACCATTGCTGTTATTGTTATTCAAACGTTGGTTGAAAAAATGATGCTCCATTTACTACATTTGCTTTCAAGTAATGAAATAACCTCCATCTTGCGTTGATGTAAAACTACGTTGAAGTACGTGCTACCTAATCCAGTTCAGCATAAGTTTACAAGCCTAGGGAACCCGCACGCAGACCACACAAACAAAATTTTAAAAACTTTTGACATGGTACGCTTGTGTCTATTAGCCATACACGGATTTTCTTATATAAGAGCCTCTGGTATTTTTGTTTAAGAGCCAAGTTGAAGATAAGGAAAGGCCTGGGGTTAAAGTATCGTCATTGAAATCTATGATTTGGCTTGTTGCTAATCCGCAAGCACGACACACTTCCGCCTTGATAAAAATAATGTTAAACCTTCTAGAATAGCGACAGCATAGAGACTAGTGCATAGGGAGGGGTGTAATTCCATGCCCTTAACAATACAATATGTTACTAACTGTATACCTAGCAGATCCCCTACACACCTCACACCCTCAACCACACACAGAGGCATTGTCACGCCAATGACCTACAGATAAAGCCCACTATGAAACAATGATATGACGTTTCCAATAGGGCTAGTATGTATGTCACCATCTTCTCGTGTTTGTACTTGCCAGCTAGTATTTTCCAAACCAAATGTGAATATTTTTATTAAACGGCAAAAAAAAAAAAAAAAAAAAAAAAAAAAGATTACTTGGTAATGATAGACTTCATTTGATTATATTATTAGTAACATTTTTTTTATAATTTTGGGTATTCTTGTTTTTTTTTTAATTTTCGAAGCGAGGCTTCGTTGTTTCTTATGAACTGAATACATATTTATTATTTTCTACAAATTCCTTTTATTATTATAATCTTTGATATAAATATGCCAGTGCGATATACTACACCGTGTAACAAAAAGCATCCTTCCGCACCATAAAGGTGCTGTTTTTTTTTTTAATTTACCTGAATAATGATGAGATTCTTTAGTTCTGGCAGATGGTGTCGCCTAACTCTCATATTTTGGAGGATAGTGTCTCCAGTTTAACAAATTCTCATATTCTGTACGATTTTGTCT